TGGGACACAGCAACTGCTGAGAGAACTTCACATGGACTCTGAGACCTGCATCACAGAGTTGGAATCTGCAGGCCTAAGCTCTTTCTGCAGTCAGATTCGCTTGGTGTACCGTTGCTTGCTCAGGGCATGTGAAGCACAGATGGCAACATTAAGCCAGTTTGCAACATGAGAGATCTGGGTGCTTGCAAGGTACCAGAACAAGTCCATGTGCACCGCTCAGACAGCTCCCATTTTCTGTGTCGTGACAGATCGGGAAGTGTCACATGCCAATTCAGGTGGAGCCGAGTCCTGACTTACAATCAGGTTACAGGCTCGCCACGGCTCACCCGAGATTTTGCTTCGAAGGGAGTCTGCGAAAACAGCCGTGAAAGGCCCCGTGGTATTGGAACAGCAGCGGAGCACAAAGTCCTGGCCTCAGCTCCACGAGTGGGCTCAAGGGAGCGCGCGGGCCTGGGTTGAAAAGACTGGGCTTCCAGATGCGCTGGATGAGGACCTTATGCGAAGACGGAGAGGGTGTTGCCGGCGACATGTGCCCACGGCAGGGATGCTCGCAACTTCAGCTGAGTGGTTGTTGTCTGAAAGGAAACGCACTGTGCTTTCTAGTTAACATGTGTCAGAGAGCCAGGTGCGCTTCGAACGAGTCTGTCCCATCACCTGGAAGGTACTGCTACGGTCAGAGAACATCCTCTCGCGACTCTTTCGGTTCGAATCAGGTGCTGGGTCCATGCTCTCAAAGCCTGAACATCCGCGCTTCTGGGGCCCGATAGGTGCATCAGGCCGCAAGAACTTTATCGCTTTTTACATTCATCGTCCCGGGTTATTGCAACAAGGGGCTAGACCACAATCATCTCGGGCGGGAGCCATTTCTGCTGGTGGCCTTGCTTTTTGACACCCAGAGATCTCCAGGGCCCCGAAGACAGGAGAGAAGAATCAGCATTTGTAAGTATCCTAGATGATGACTTTGTGGAGGTCCTGCCGATCACTGCGCCGGATCCTCGCGAGTACGAGGGAGGAGTTGTGACGCCGCTGAGCTAGAATAATAGCAAAGATCGAAGTGGAATTAGTTGCATTCGAACAACAACCTCTTTCGCGACTTCGATAGCCGTTGGCCTCGTACATGCGCTGAGGCCAGCACAGAGAAGAGCTTACTATGCCAAAGGCTGAGAGCAATATTGAACACGTCTTTGCAGCAATATGAGTGCACAGGTTGCATCTGGCTCAACTTAGGACTCTGCTTTCGAAGTAGCAGCATCCTCCTCACGAAGGAAAGGGAACATCTTGGGTATGCTTACACGGCCAAAGCCATTGAAGGCTAAATGCGCCGGGTGATCACCTGCCAGGCTTGCGGCAGACAGTCGGCCAGAGTTCGACTTTCTGTCACGGTCCCAGCAATGAGAATTGCCCTCGTGCAGGTCCAGATTTTGGGCTTTGTTGGCACATGTCATTCGGATTGCAGGCTGCCGCGAAGTTTTCCAGAGGAGCCATCAGCAATCAAGCGCAGTTTGCATTCTGATGGACTTGGGTGCGGCTTCGCATCATGTCCTTGGGTGTACGCAAGTAGCTTGCTTTTGGAAGGATACCTTCCAAGTGGCCATCTACCCGAACACGCCGTCAGATCTGATAGCAGAGCATGTCGCCTACATCAAAAACCGTGAATGGTTAGATGTCAGGATCCCGGCTGAGTACCTCGGCTTTGCTGCATGCAATGTGCTCACATGTTGTCACATCTTGCCAAATCTCGCCACCAATACAGAACTCAGCATAGCACAGGTCGCGAGGTTCCTTGAAGTGTATGCGGCTACATGCAAGCGGTTCCGAGGTGCGAACGAAGCTGTTGAAGATCAATGCCGTGCTCGTGAATGCTGAAGTCGGAAGGTTTCTCCTGCACAATGGACGGAATCTGGACGGAAGCTGTAGCTGCAATTGCCTTCCTGGAAGGCCCCGGCTGCAGAAGTTCAGCATCGAGTTGGCCGGGTTGCCTTGGAACGTTCGCAGATGTTTGCAGCATGCCCTGTGCAACATCCAAGGCGCAAAGCCGCGGAGGAGGCTTCTTCAAACAGGTCAGGTCAACTTCCCAGATACTGTGTCTGGTGGCACTTGGAACTTGGAGCAGCGCAAGCTTCTGTATACCGCTGTGGGCTGAGGGTCAATACGCTGTTCCTCGAGATGTTCCCTGGCGCAGTCTGCTCAGACTGCGGTCTTCCAACGAAGAGTGTCAACAAGCAATGTCGCCGCTTTGTATTCCGAATCCCATTCTGACTACATGCAAACTGTATGCCTTTCAGGTTGCGAGCATCGTGTTTGACATCCTCTTTGCAGTATTCTTGGCAGGCTTCTTCCTGTCCGTGGCTCAGATGCTCAAAACGGACGTAGCTGTGAAGACTTGGGACCCTTCAGAGACCCTTGCGAGGTCCGAGTGTTTCCAGCTCGGAAAGGCGATCGCCAGGCGGAAGGCCGGGGGAAATCGCCAAAAGTGTCCCCGAATGCGGCCGGCATTCGTGTAGGGGACTGCAGGGAGGCGAGGATGTAGTGAAGTAGATGTGCCAAGGTTTTCATAGGCTGGTGTCGCGTGTTGTCGTGGCCTCCGGGCTGCTCTGTCGCGGGCATCGTTGTGCTGCTGCGACTGAGTGAATGCAGCGAAGATAACATCTGGATCTCGAGTCTTGTCTTCCCGATTCGCAAGTGCTGCTAATGTGTACCGCTGGATACTATTGCTGCTTCATTGTGCCGGGAATTTAGAACACATATTTTGCAGAACCGTCTTGGCAATCTTGGTCAGGCGGGGGGGAGCAAGATTGCCAAGCAATCTTGGCAACCTTGGCCATCTTGCTCCTGCCCCACTTGCTCACCGACTAGTTTACCTTATGGAGTCCGAGATTGCAATAAGATTGCTTGGCAATCTTGCTCCAGCCCTTGCCCTAGTTTGCCTTTTGGAGACCAAGATTGCAAGTTTGCTTGGTTGCAAGCTTGGTCTAAAAGGTGAACTAGTCCGCGAGACCAAGATTGCATGCTTGCGTGGCAATCTTGCTCAACCAATTGTTCTAAATTCCTGGCACACTGTACTGCTACTACTACTACTACTACTACTACTACTGCTACTACTACTACTACTACTACTACTACTACTACGACTATTACTGCTACTGCTACTACTGCTACTACTCCTGCTGCTGCTGCTGCTGCTGCTGCCGCCGCCGCTACCACCACGAGTGCTGCTCCTTTTGCTTCTCCTGCTCTTGCCAGTTCGGATTTTGCTGATGCAACAACGACTCCGACTACGAAGGCGAATTGCGGGCACGACGACGGCTTTCTGCCACTATCACTGCGACGTCGATCATCGTTGACAACCACTACTGGAGGTGCTGTTGCCCGCCACTATTGCCACCGTTGCCATTGCAATGCTTTTGCTGTCACTGCTGCGGCTGCTCTCTTCCGCATCCGCGTCGTCATCCTCCTATACCGACTTGCGCTACTACGGTGGCCACATCTCGTGGTTGACGGGCACTTCCAGCTGTGCTGCTTCTTTTTGTTACGCTGCTGTGTCCCGGCTGGCATTCCAACACTACTGCATTCTCCATTTTGACGAGTAGCTCTGCCCACAATGCTGAGGTTTTGTGTTTCTGTTGTCTGTCGTACTGATCGCATTGCCATAGTGATTGAGTCGGTAAGCCGTCATGCTCAGCCAGTCGGACTCGAATTGATGATGTCAGTGCTGCTAGAGTTGTCGTCACTCTCATCACCAGGCTTGTAGTCGTCTTTGATGACTTGAGCTTGCATAGTGCGCTGTTGGCAGTTGATCGCTTTCGGCCAGGGTTGGAAACACATCAGAAAAGGGTGGACCCTGCTGCAATGGCTCACTATCTGTTCCGATCTCAGCAAAGACGGTGGCATTTCGGACTACTGCTCCTCCACTCTCACGCCGGCTGAAACCGAGTTGGTGGCGCTGCTGTCCTTATCGGCTACGGGTATGAAATGTTTCTGCGTTTGTGGCCTCAGTTTTGGCGCAGAGCATTTTTCTCAGCAGCATGCCACCTTGGATCATCCAGCGAAATGACGAATGAGCAGTTGATGTCGCGGCAGCTCAGGCGAAGATGTTGTGTCGGCATACAAAGCAGTGGTTGCAAATGCGGAGGAGGAGCCGCTGTTGGCAGCAATTGTATCCTTGAGCAAGCAGGCATGCAAACGGGGTTTCATGCCAGTTCTAGCATGTTTACAGGCAGCAGTGTCGGCGGTAGATTCAGCTGGAATTAGCTGGAAGGATCTTCCTGCAGACACTAGCACCGGCATCGCGCTGTTGAATGAGGCCTGTTGCTCTGCGCCCTCCGCAACCCAGAAAATATAAAAGTATTGCTCTGGCTGCCCCATCTCGCTGTCGCAAGTGTTTGGTAATTCTGTGCGAGGTTGAACAAATGAGCTGGTTCGTGGTCAACTTCCGGGTTGTTACCGGTCTGCCACATCCTGAGTGTTGCAGCTAGCGATGGTGCAGGACAAGCCACAGGAGTGTTGCAGTGTGCATCATGCTTCTGGTTCAGCCGGCCATAGAACAACGACTTCAACAGCCTCTGGTTGCGTCGTCAGGTACTGCTTGCTTCTCATGGTGCGCTTCTTCACGGCCTTCGGAGCGCAGCCACGACTAGCCGTGGTGACCAAAACCTTGGAGGCTGCCAGTGGCTGTGTTGAGTGGCAACTAGAATCCTACAAGCGTTTCTAGGGCCTGTCGGTTGCCTTAGGAGGTTGAACGGCGGGAAATAGGTCAGCGCCTTCGACATTGTCCACTTCCTGGTAGTTTTGGCCCCGACATGGCTGGTCTGAGCCTTGGCATCTCGTGTCCCCATAGTTCAATCCGAGATGCTCGCACTCCCATACCCCAGTCAGCCAATGCGACTGAGGCTTATGCTCTGTGCTGGCCTTAGCTTCGCGAGGACGATAGAGAGTTAATCGACTGGAAAAGTTCGAGTTGAGTCAGCTGAAGGGCTGGGTGCTTCATCTTCGGCCGAAGGATGGAGGACGGCATGTTTGTGTTGAGGCCAGCATGGGTCGGTTCTCACTGATGCTGGAACGAGGAATTCGCGACTCTGGACGCTTCGATCGGCTACTGCTTCAAGCTGATGATCGAGGGAGAGCATGGCTGGCTTGATTAAAGCAAATTCGCGAGCAGAGCAGTGCAAGGATTACTCATGTTTGACGACATTGGACCGCCAGGTATGATTGGCCTTACTACTCGGAAGAGCTATGGCCCCAGGTAAAGACAGCATCGCTATTAGTCTCGAGCAGCAGCTGTCCAAGGAATTACTTCACCACGATGTTCTGGATGTGGACTTTCATGGTTTTGCTAAATGTGGTCATGTTGAATTTGGTCGGAGCCTTGGTCCTTTTCTTGATTTTGTTGATTGGCCGCATGCCAGCTTCGTAGTGCCAGGTGCTGGCCATCATTTTGGATGTCTACGGCTCGATTCGGAGGGAGACTGGCAAGAGTGAGACAGCGTCCGCACCTCTGGTTCGGAGGTTGAAAAGTATCACAAGCTTAAACTACTCCTTTTGCAAGGTGGCTCACGCTCTGGCGAATGTTTTTGCAGCTCTGGTACCGGCGGGTCTGGGTGAAGAGTGCAACGCTGCTGCAGGCTTTTGAATTTGTTGTCCAAGTATTGCAGCCCTGGGACACTGCAAATGCTCACAGTTGATGCTTGCAGGCTTTAGACGAGCTGCCAGCTGAGATCCGACGTGAAGATCTGCAAGCACCGTGGCTGAAATGAACGGGATCTCAATGGCCAGAGTAAGTGCTGGCCATCGTCTTCACAAAGGTTTCAAGTGCTGATTTCGATGCAAACTTTTGGGCACCAGGGGAGCTTTTCAGGGTTTAGGGCTTAGGGTGTATCTTTCGCATGTCCGGCAATGCACCCGCTGAAGCGCTTCCCAACGCACCCGAAATGGCAGCCGTCGACCTTGTAGGAGGCGCCTCTTGCAGAGGTTTGGGCAGGATGAAGGAAGCGCATGTTTTCATAGAGCCTTGTGTCGTCATGGGGCACCGACTTCGCTTCGTGTCATCTCCCTCGCAAGTAGCTCGATGTTGAGAAAGAGGGAAAACTCGAGCGCCTCGCCGCCAACACGTCGGGACGGCTAAAGTTAAAGTCTTTCCCTATCGGTGGATGCAATATAAGTCGACAGGATGACATTTTGCTGTGTGCCCTTTTTCCGAAGAGCCTTGCTTGTCGACCGAGGAGAAGTTCCCTTCCATCTGCAATGCCGCCGCCTCAGCCCACTCAAAGCTTATGCTTGCCATTGTGAAATCAGTGCAGCGAAGTATTGAAGCGCAGTGCACCTTGAAGTCATCGTGTATGGTTTTCTCTTGAGGAGCAGCTCAAGGTCTTGTTCCAGGAGTGCCACTTCCAGGCACGACTAGCGAATTCTAGCATCGGTGCACGAGAAGCCGATCTCTCCCCTCTTTGATGATAGAAGAGAGTCAGGAGGGAGATGGCCACAACACCGGCATTAAAATCGTCAGATCCCTCAGGACCCGATGTGTTCCTGGCAGGTCCAAATGGACGATCAAGCAGCCTCTCAGAGCAAGCGGCCAGTGCCCCTGTCGGAGATGCAGCCTTAAAGAATGCAACGTATGCCATGTGCATCGCGTGCACAGGGTTTTCACATAAGTACAATCGAGTAAGCTTCGGCACCCGGCGGCTGCAGGTGCATGAAAATGGCACTGTCCTGCAAATTAGCGTTGGATCAGGCAACGTCGATGTCTAGACAAAGCGCAGCGTGCATCCGTGGTGCATCCGTGCAGGTGACAGACACAGCTGCAGCCCAAGCAAAGAAAGGGAAACATGTTTGTTGTGACTCTGCCGGCTGCAGCCGCCAGCAGCTTCGCGAGTCAGCCGAGCCGAGGTCAAAGCACTGCACAGTGGCACCATTGAGACCGGTGGGCAAGACGGTCCAGAGTCAGACTGGGTGGGGCACCAAGAACGCCTCAAGAACGCCTCCAAGTCCAACTTGTGGGGACATGTTCAGAGATGCACGCCCAGGTCCGGAAAGTCGCGGATGAAGTGGCAGAGCAGAATCACTATATGTCGTCGCCATCTCGGCCATGAATCTACTCTGCCTTCCGTGCTGCTTCAGTCGCAACCGCTTGCGGCCGATATCCGCTGCATAGACGTACTCAAGGACACTACGAAAAAGACTGGAGACGGTTCAAAAGCAGTGGGAGGCCTTCAATTCCTTTCTGTGCTCTGGTCTTTCGCGAGTCGCATCCTGCGGAGGCAATCAAGCAGAGAGAGCAGCCTCGGCATGGTTTGAATGAGGGGATGGGCCAACGACTGTCGGCTTCAGAGAGTGCCCTGTTGCCGGAGCTCCAAGCGGACGTGTACCATCTTTGAAACCGTTCTTAGCCAGATTCTCTCATCGAGGAAGGCCGCCTTTGTAAGGCAAGCGATTCACCAGGTTGAAGATATTTGTAACACGGAAAGGGACACATTTACAGGGCGGTAAATCCACTCCGAGGAGTGCGGTGACGAGCCCAAACTGGCTTTCCATTAAAAACTTAGTTGCGCATTCCTAAAGTTCAAAAGCTCCGTAAGATTGCTTGGTGGTGGGGATGGCAATACTTTGACGATGCAGTAAGAACTAACATGCATGGATAACTTAACGAGGACGACAAGAAAGATGACCTGCAGAACAGCAGAGCAGGCTGTGCATCCGTAAGGCCATTAGAATGATGAGGCACCGATTGTCTGCAAACACAGTCCGAAGTTTCATTGCCTTGCTCAAGCAAGGATCATTCGACGGGGGTTGCTTTGGGGCACAACTCCCGCAAAGGTAGAAGCGATAGAGATGGAGTGGTGATACGTCGGAACTGCAGGACAGCATAAAAGCGTAGGGCTTCCGCGACATTGGTTATTGCTTGTGCTGACTGATCACCCCAAGTATTTCAGCTCTTAAAGGACGGGGATTTTTCAGGGAAGTACCGGGAGCGGAAAATCTTCGAAGGATGCGTGAAGTGATGGAGAAACTCAGGAGGAAAACTGGCGGTGGAAGGACGTGGCATGACATGGCATGTATGTTTGCAGAAGAGCCCTCTCAGGGTCCAGGACACCATCATGGTGTCTGTCAGGTCTGCAAGCGGCTGCTAGCCTAGCATAGCCTAAGGCTATGTTCGAAGCTTGTTTCGGAAATCTCACGGCTGTGTCAGGCTCGCAATCGGTCCAAGTTTCATGGGTGATGAACGCTGTGACCCCCAAGAGACCATGATGCAGAAGCACTGGGAACATGTGGGACCGTAGTAACATGTCGAGGTCAACCACACGGGTGGGGTGGTTTCATGCTCTTACTGTGGTTCTCTGTGGCCAGGGCTGAAGCGGAGGCCGAGGCGCAGGAGACGTGAGGAGTGAACTCAGTGAACTTCACCTCTGATGGTACCTTAGCTGCGAGGAGAAGTCGGGGGACTAAAGCTGTAGCGAGGTGTACCATGAGCTTCAACCTTAAGGATGGGTTTGAGGAAAATGGACAGATCTTGTCAGGGTAGACCGGCTTCAGCCTTCTTTGTCGTCGCTGAAAACAGTGACAACTGCCGCTTTAATGCTGCGCACGCAAAGCGCCATGGCCAGGGAGATGCAAGCACGTGCCCCGCATGCGTCAACCTGTAAAGAGCATTCTTCACTCGGAACTTGCATTCCATTGGCTGAAATCAAAAAGTGCTAACACAGCTTTGGTGACGAGTCTCGAAGGGAAGTCGCCAAGAATCTGCAGCACAAGTTGCTGCCGGAGGTGGGATTGCGACAAGCTGTGCCTTTGCAGACTGAAAATACCCAGCTTCGTGCATAACACTCTCACCTTCGAGCAGTGGCTTGTTTCACCAGATTGAGACCTACCGAAACATGGAAGGTTCAGGTTCTCAGTTAGAATGCCCCACTCTGATGCAAGACTGTCCAGTTTCGGTTTGTCAGACTGCGCAGATCTGCACGGGCTTCGTTCGCTTGATGGCGAGTGAATGCACGTGACATCACGGGACCTCTCGATGCAAATGCAAAAACCAGCTCGGCATGGTTGCGACATGGGATGATGTGAGTTTGTGTTCCGAATCGACGATACATTGTGATTGTGGTTGTCCTAGCCAGGCACCGGTGGTCGGTGAATGTGCGCTGTCCTGCAGCTTTAGTAGAGGCACCCCACACACGCACACGCATCAGAGGCCTCAGCTTAGAAATCAGCCACTTTGGCAATGCCGCATTGTCTTTGACATTTGGCTTCGAAGACTGCTGTGTGTCCGACACTTAGGAGGATTTCTTGCATGTCGAAGTGTCTGTAAGTCTGTAGGTTGTTTCGCTCATGGAAAACATAGACGGATGGGTGCCGCGGCTTTGGAGCACTGCAGGCAGTCGGGTGTCGTAGCCACCGTCCTTCACAGCCTGTAGATTTGCCAGCAGGAAGTGCTTGCATTGCACATCGATAAATCTCCCGGTGACGGGAGTAGAGCAGGTGTCATCGACAAGCGCGCTGGGTGCCGTTTGCACCTTCGCCGCCAGCGGGATCCTGCAAGGCAGATCAAAGTCCAAAGTTTAGAGTCTAGACCGTGCAAGCAGACGGCTTTGTGCATCGCGGACGGCAGCTCAAGCGCTTCGAAGTCAGCTCTTGTGGCTTTATTATGCTCACATGCCATGCTGCACAGGGGGCTCAGCAGGTCTACTACAGCCATGGCTCAGGCATCGGATTGCAAGCAGGGAGACTGATGCAGCCCGGGCTTGCTTGTGTGCCAGGCTTGGTCTATGCTGGCATTGGCAAGCAGGTGGCAGGACTCGGAGGTTTGAATTTTGACGCTTCTCTGCATCTGCCGACTGCCGCTCCGTGTAGAGGTGGCGCACAGTGCGGCCACAGGGCAGCCACGCGACACCTACGAAGGCGGCTCATGAGCACCTGTGAAGCCAAGACCGCGGTCACTCTTTAGTGCTATGACATCACTGGTTGCAAGCAGCAGTTGGCCCAGCTCAAGCCTCGCCGCGCAGGCCATGTTGGTCCGGTGACTTGTCTGATGGTGACTTTCTGTCCGCACCTCCAGTGCCAGCAGCTGAGTCTCCGTCCGAGAGAGTTCATCCCATCTCTGCTGTTTGTACAAGTGCGCTTGTAAGTGCCTTGACCAGCCAGGCGATGTCCTCCTCAGCGGATCGGTGGACAGCACAGCGGCTGGGATTCCTTAGTGAGCTCTTTTGTGCCTTAGTCTGGAGATGTTCCGCGTGTCGCAGTGCGAACCGAGGTCAAGTGCTGGGTGCTAGGCACCTGGCCTTACAGAATGTTTTGCTGCACCCTAGCTTTTGGCTAGTTGTTCGCGCAGTTTGGGCAGACCTCCCCGAGGTCATCGCCAGCCGAGGACCTTTGTCGGACACACCGGAGCGGTCCAAGCTGGCATGTTGTGTAGATCCGAGAGGCTCGGCTTTTCCGTTGACTGGCAGGTTTGGGGTTTAGCAGCGAGCTCGACTTCCTTCTACAGCTGCTCATCAGATTGCACTATCAGGTGCAGTTTGCCTCAAGCACCAGGGCTCTTTTCATATCGGTTGACGGCAGGCAGTGGTGCCGCAAAAGCTGCAAGGAACTGATGGTTCTGCGAGGCCCCGGGTTCCTGCTTGTCATGTGTTTGGAAAGCATGATGGAATCCACGTGTGCGACTAAACTGCCACATGTACCAAACGAGTTCTCAGGACATGCCGGCCCTGTCACGGCCTTAGATCGCAGCTATGGTGGTGAAATGACTAAATTCTCAGTTCTGTACGGAACAGCGATGTCTGCCGTAGGTGCAGCAACTGCTGTTCTTGGAGGGCACGCTTTGCAGCGGTGCCGGCCTTGAGTGCAGCATCACACAGTGAAAACGGTGTAATGACAGAATGAGTTCGTGGTAGTGACAAACTGAGTTAGAGGTAGTGACGGGAAGAGTGAGAGGTAGCTCGAACACGTTGGCAAATTGTTCCGGGAATGTGCGCGGTTCAGGTTCGGAGGATGGCGTCCTCAAAGTCTGGGGAGAAAATGGCCAGCTTCTGCCGGAGCCCAAGCGGCACAGCGACTGAAGTTCACAAGGAGCAAAAAATGGTGCTGCGTCCTGAGGTGCAGCCTGGAAGATCACGAGGACTCCGAGAATGATCGGCTTGAAAGCAAACATCTGGGCCTTCCTTCAGGATGGAATCACGTGCATGCTTTGCGCGCTGTCGGAGGACACAGAAGTACCAGCAGTTTCATGGCTGCGTTTCCCTGCCTGCAAAACCAGGACATCATCACCGGTTCTCGGGATTGCACCCTGAAGTGCTGGAACGTGAAGGTCGCAACCGGGAATTCGGCAGTCTCAGGGCGTGATTTGAATATCAAGCTGTCTCGTGCATTGCAAAATCGGAAGATGGTGTGATATGGTATGTCTGTCTTCAGCATGCACTTGAAGATTTTACGTGCTCGTGCTGGTGAAGAGCCCCTCTCAGCAGCATGTTAGCCTTTTGCAGTTGGCATCATCGGGCGATCAGAATGAAATTCATTGGGGAGAACATGTCATCACAACCTGCAGCCATGAAGCCAGACTCCAAACGTCCTTTTCTGGAAACAACAACGAAAACAGTGCAGCCTTGGCAGTCTGGCAAGCTGATTGACACCATGTACGGCCACACGGACTGGGTGACCTGCCTGCTGGAGGTGCGGGCTCCGGTGACACCAGTCTGACATATTCTGACGCCTAAACCTGGAGAGTGGGAAACTGTGGGCATTGCTATGGCTGCTATGGTGTATCACTTCACCAGCAAGGTGGAGGATTCTTGGTGGTCGGGGTCCCGTGACACCACAATCAAGCGCCGGAGACTCGGGAAATCCGAGGAGGCCTCCCATGTGTTAAGAAGACAGTGTTGTCCTGAGACGTCTTCAGGTTGGCACCCGATCACGCACCAACTCCTGACTACACTGCAGGGGTCAGCCCCATGCCGCTGTAAGTCGCGCTGTTGCTGCAAAAGTCAAACGGGCCCAACGGGCCCGGGCTTGTGCCAGGCATTGTTCCGGCATCAGCATCCTCTGTTACATGTCGGCCGACTCCTCAGCTGCCGCCTGTGCACACGCCCGGTCCATGCAGAGGAATTCCGTATTCCTAGCGCCCGTTCAACAGCCCTTTTGGAGGAAAGCGAACAGCTCCGCCCCCTTTACAGGCCGTCCTAGTGCGGAGGTTAAGCAACCTGCGAGCAGAGACCCCTTTCCAGACAAGTCATGCCGAAGCACGAAGTATTACCGTAGGCTTCTGGAATTGTGACCGGTGAGCTGTCGGGCTCAGTTAAAACAAAGCTGCAGCTTGACACCTTGCCTTTACCTGAGGAGTCGATCCTTTCCGGGTCAGCCGACCGGACGATCACCCAGTGGCATCCGAAGTTTCAGACCCAGCGAGACGCCCGGCCATGCTTGTTCCAGTGCACCAGACACGCAGTGAAGGAGTTGCGCAGATGTGTACTTCTAGCCGGACTTGGGATGCCGCCGAGGTTAGCCAGCATTGATGGCATGGGTGGCGTCAGCAGCCTTGTTGAGGTCGCGACAGGTCCAGCTTCAAAGACTTGACTTAACGGCTCTTCACGTCTTTTTGCTCCTTCCGTCGCTTGCCGCGTGCACTGCGTGCACCTGAAGAGGTATTTTCCGGCTGGCTGCTCGCGGGCCACCAAGGCCGCTGCCTCGATCTCGCGCGCGGTTGTTTCGGGGGCTTCGAAAGAGATGAGGGGCCCAAGGCAAGAGACGACAGGTCTCTTTTCAGTAAAATCCAGAGCAAGATAGCGAAACCCTTTGGAAGGATACAAGATGGCCCAAAAACCTGACTTGATAGTCGGGCTGGTTTCAACAGAAGCTAGGCTCAGAGGAACAGTTCTTTCCAGAGCTTCATGCCGACTTGACTAGAGTACTGCCATATCGGCGAACACCCAATCACTTCGGGCTTGGACTGTTTTGGAGTGCTATTTCGAGCGCCTACAATCAGTTCTTTGGAGATGCACGAAGAGAAATAAGGAAAGGAGATGCACGTGTCTTCAACCACGGACTTGCTTCACTTTGCAGTTCGGGAAACGCGCAGTCACTTGGAGACGGGGCAGGGGTTCCTGCCAAGACACAGTCTCTGTTCCGGAAGCCGCTCTCGCACGCTACAAGAGCGATTGTATTGTTTTTTCAGCCGTGCTCATGTCAATCCAGGGCATCGTCAGTTTATTGTCCGGCGTTCCTATTTGGCAAGAGCTTTGTCTTGCGCATCAATCTACTCGTTAGGTGCACATGCTTCGGTTGATGTGATGCTTGCATGTTTTTGCGAGTGTCTTTCGGTGCCCCTGCGCGCCCTGCATTCATTCCAGCCATGAAGCTCACGAAATGTTGCCGTGCACGCCGTCGAAGTGACAAAGTGTCAAGCAAAGTGTCAAACTTCAAACGCGTTATGCAAGATGTCAGGTGTCATGTGGGCGAAGCATTGCGCCGATTGAGCACTAGCCATTCTGGCTGAGGCTGCTGGCCAAGCCAAGGTGTCCGGCCGGCCCCTGACTACTCACTGCCGTCAAGCGGTCCTCGTATTTGAGAAAAGCAAGGACTCGGGAGCAGACTCCAAATCGGAGCTCTACGAGTTAAGGCCTGCTTGGCCTTTGCCTTCGACGGCCGTATCGTCTGGGCTTGCAGGTGCAGACCGTGGCCTTCGCAATGGCCAAGGGCAGAATTCAATTTCGATTCGGCTGTGTGAGACCCAACGGGAGGAGCAGCGGAGCAATGCGGAACAGCCTGGGGCAGTCTCTGATTTAGTGCTTTTGCATTGAGGCCTGCGGCGAGGCCTTCAATGCTTCGAGCTCAGCTGTCTGCATCCGAAGCCGATGAATGCTTACCGGACTTCAATCTGCACTTCCAGGAGGGAACATGCTGGATCTCTCCAAAGATATTGGAAGAGCAATTCTAATCGACAGTGTGATGCGGCGATCTTGCAACAGTAAGAAGCAGCTCGATGTTCGGAAGATGAACTGCGTACATGCTGCTGCTCTTCTAGGCCTTTCGTCAGCATCACAGACTCACATGCTGTGCAGCATTGTGAGTGTGTGTCAACTGTCAAACTGTCAAGCGGCGGCAAAAGTGCCAAAGTGCTAATTGTCCCCAAGCTTATTCGAGAGCCGACCTCGAGTGGCCAAAGTGCTACGTGCTTTTGTGTTGTTGGAAGATGCAGAACCCAGACATCGGGAAGTCCTGTGGAGGGGGTCGTCGGCATTAACAATTTGAGTTGTCAATGGGGGCTGCCAAAGACGTGCCAGTTTGCATCGACGGGTTCTGTGGCGGTAGCATTGATTCTTGACGCAAGCATCCCGCAGAGCAAGGACTAGTTTATTTCGCGCCCACGCTAAATCTGGACAAACTTCAAGAACTATGACATGCTACGACCAACGAGACCGATGCAGGTACCCAAACATGTCGCCTGGGGCGCTCCGATGCCCCAGTTCATGCCTCCGGCGCAAGATCCTGTGCTGCTTGCAAGGCAGGTTTTCCTCGCCTGGCTACAAAGAGAGTCTTGATTGACAGTGGGGTCAGTGAAGCTTGAAAAGGTGAAGCTTTCTGATTGTCTTGAGCTGTAACGATTCTGGCAAAAGTGACCTAGGAGAATGCGTCGGTCGGCCGAGCGCTGCTGCAGTTCGACTTGGATGCCGATGGCATGCTCTCTGGCTACGAGATTTCACGTGCCGCGGCGCAGGCCGGCGTGGCTGCGGAAGACATTCCCAGCCTGCTGCGACACCTAGGCGTCGGCCCCGGAGGCTTCCGAAGGGCTGGCCCATCCCATCCCCACCGTACGGAAGCCGAGTATCACCTGTCAGATTCAGACAGATGACATGATGTCAAATTTTGGAACCGTCAGCTTCCGGATTGGGTCACCGCTTCATCGGAGGAGCTAGCTCTTGCCCGGAACAGCAAAACGGGAGAAGATTAACTAAGCGTGAGCATCAGGAATGATCTATTGAGGACCGAGAAGAAAAGACATCGAGGATGAGAAGGAGAGGCAGAAGAAGACAAGCAGCGATGAGATGATAGATAGAATCATTTCCGACGGCGCATGTGAGGTTAGCTGTTGTCGATTCTCATTGCATCCTGCCCGCTTTGCGAGACCACAGTATACTCCGGTGCAGGCATTGCCATCGGCTCCCCAACGGGTTCAGGCTTAGCTTTCGAGCCAAAATCAAACTCAGCACTTATGGCCATAGATGCCGTTTCCACATATCACTGAACACATGTCCGGGTTCAGCGCCACCATCCAAAAGTCATTGGAAGCACCTTTGCATTTGCAAAGCCCTGGACCCGAAAGGTTGGAGCTGCAGCATGCTAAACCGCCGAAGCAGTCGGCAGTCAAACCTCAAATCACGAAGCCCACCCTTGACACCATGAGCGCTGAAGCCTACGTAGGAGCTGCGCAGCCTAAACTCTAGACGCGAAGATCGGAACCGCGCACCAAACACAACCCCAAATCCGATGCCATGGATCGTACAACTAAACCCATGCCGTGAGCCGGAACTGCCTCAACTCCCAAGCTGCTGCGAATCCTGTGATTCATAGTCTACAGTACTGCGAAACCTTAGGTTCCAAACCAGGCCTTCTTGGGCTCTGCACGCTCTTTCCAGGGTGCCTGGACACAACTGCATCCGCCAGTGATTCACACCGCGTGGAAATACTAGGCAAGCCTAAAAGAGTCGGTCTTGAAGCATGCGCATGACTCCCATAGAGATGATTCTGAGCCCTGCCAGGTGTTTCGGAGATCTTGCAAGAACTAGTTCTAGGCAATCAGAAGACCAAGCCAGAAGTCATGTATGCAGCAACACTCTGGAGGATGGTTCCTAGAAAGCAACGCTTAACGTTCTTTGCAAGACATGGGCATGACGGAGTTCCCGTGTTCGACTCAGGCTAGAAGTCGGTCAACCAATCAGACCGGTCGCACACGTTTTTATCCGCATGAGTTGTCCTTCATCATGAAGCTGTCCTGCACGCAGGCCTGGCCGTGGATGCTCTGTCAGACATCTTGCTGGGACATGTGGCACCGTCGGCACCGGCGGGGCCCAAGCAGAGGCCGTTGCCGAAGGTGGCCGTAAGCACGCCCACGGAGCAAAGGCTGATCCCCCAGCCAAGCAGGTTCCTCCAGCTTGTGCAAGATGCAAAGAACCAAGCCGATTACAAGGTGCAAGTCCTTCAATTCCTGCAAAGCTCTCCAGGGGATAATCTTGAGCAGAAGGAGACCGATGCCGTTGCATTCTGCCTCTCAATACCTGCAAGAGACCTGTACAGCATCGTGGACGGCTTTGGCTCAACCGTGCTGGTGCTTGCTTGCAGACTCGGCATGCAGCAACTTTTTCAAGTAATTCTGACGACTTCCTCATCATCTCAGGATCTACCCTCAGTTGATTGAGTCTCTGACAAAGTGTGTCCAGCCATCTGCAGTAAGCTTGAAAGTTGAAGTTAGTTGACCAAGCAGTAGGTTGTTGCACGTGCGCGTGACTCGTCTTCGCAGCTGTCAGGAGCGCAACACCTTCGTGAACAAGGCCAACGACATGGGATGGACCCCTCTACTCCTGGCAGCACAAAACGGATACCATCTCATGTGTGAAGAGCTTCTTTGGGCACAGGCCGATCCCAATCTGCCCACAGAAGGCACGCGTCTATCCCCACTGACATTGGCAGCTTCTTATGGCCATGCTCACACCGTCCGGCTCTTGCTGGACAGCTTAAAAAATATGAGCAATTCATTGCGCTCGTGACTCTTCTGCCTGCTTCTGGTCGTGAGGGTTTCTTTGTTCGTCGCAGGATCTGGAGTGGACCAGACCGCCTACTAACCGGGCTCATCCCTGGATGCTCTCTTCCGACGGGCGTTCGGCTTTGCACTTCGTCCGGGCACGACTGCAGTGCCGGATGAAACTTGTGGACGATGGAGAAGATCAACGGCTGGACAGCTACAGCGTCAGAAAGCCGCGGCACGCGGAACTTCCTGAGGACTACAGCAACATTGAGCGAATGCTGGTCGCAGCAATGCGTGTGGTGCCACCGCCACCCGGATTCGAAGCGGCCGTCCAGGACGAGTACTTGGACGTCGGTGTCTGGAATCAGATCCTTGAGGAGTTGGATCTTTTGCGTCGGGAGGTTCCTGTGCAGAAAGGCCGCTGATGTGTCGAGACTACGCACCCCGGTCACGAGGCTTCACAAGTCGAACATGTTCCGTCATCACTCGGTGTTGAGGGTTGGTCTTTTTTTGTCATATCGCGTGACTAGCGCCAATGTGGTCTTATTCGGCCCCAGGCACAGCCTTTCACTCCCTGCATAGGACCCGATGGTGCGAGCCTAGGGCCTAGAGAGACGAGAGGTCCAGAAGGGCTGCAAAGCATTGACACATTGATCCCTGTTTCTTTTGACGTGTCCCCGCCTCTCGGCTCGTAGTGCCAGCAGGCCTCGCAAGCAGGGCCCGATGGGCGCAACTGCCAGCGTTGAGGCCCCGAGTGCTGATGATCTCAAGCGCCTTTATGACAAGCACGACATTACCGGCTCCGGGCACCTGGAGAAGCAAGAGGCCCAACCAGCTTGCGTTTGGAACTGTAACAGGGTTGTGCTAACTTTGAGGATCCATCGCCATGTTCTGTTGACGACTATAATGTCGTAGAAGCGCTGCTGGATTCTTAGGCCCCTGAGGGCTGCACAAGAGGGGGCTTTGCGACGCCTAGACGAGGTGTACAACGGAATACGAGTTTTGGGCACCGTAGTAGCCAACAGAACTATGGTTGCGAAAGTCTCTGATCATGTGCTTAGCTGAATCGAAAAGTTTCGAAAGAGGAAATCGGTGCTTAGTCTCTTTGGATGCTGGGCCCAATGTGGCTGCTGCCGGCGCCAGGCACCCATCATCTCATGTCGCGCTTCACGGCGGCTTTCTCCCCACCACCGGCCCACATGATGCTGATCATGCTGCCCCGCTTTCCGCCTTGACCCGCACCCCCGATGCTAGAAGGCAGCGGGCCGGCGGCACGATGCACGCGCAAACACCTCACCTTCGAGGACGTCCTTTGCCCAATTTAGGGCCTTGCATACCCAGGCCAGAACCGGCATTAGCGTGGCCCGCACGCAGCATGTTGGCATCCCGCACATGCGCCGAGGCTGACATAGAGCGTTGGTGCTGAGCATGCTCCAACACCAAATTTTCGTCGACAAAGGCCCAAATCCGCCACCCCCAATCATGCTCATGTTGCTGGCCCACGTTTGCTTGCATGTCTACAACCGCCTCAGGTTTCCAGGGTTCCAGAGGTGGGGCGGGCCACCACTCTTTAAAAGCATGTAAAAGCTGGGATCCAGCTCGTTTAAATTACTTCTATGGGGTGGCATCCGAACCGCGGCTAGTTTCAATGCTCCCACTGGTGCCCGGTCCGTGCTGACTGGAAAATGGACCTTGGGTTTGAATTCTGTTTGCGCTGCTGCACCTGTGCAGCGGCTAAAAAACTTGAAAGGGGTCGCCTGCACCAAGTCAAGCGATTGCCGCACATAGGCACGAAGGGGTCAGTTGTGAGCCGACCTGCCGCTTGAGTCGTCTTGTGCACAGTCATTTCTTGCCCGACAGAAACAAAACCAAATCTTGGAAGCGTTTTCTTCGAGACAACGTGCACCAGGCTTTCGCGCTTCTCGAAGACCTCAGGATCCGATATGGCATGCCGCGGGCTCTGAGTGCAAGGGAAAGGGAGCAGAGAGTGACTTGGTCTGCACAGCGATCTGATCCCTCCGAAACTCCGAGGGAGGAGGAGCTTCCCGAGTCCTTCAAGGAGGCGGTGTTTCAGGCTCTTGGGCGTCCTTTGCTAAAGGGGCGAAAGGTTTCTACTGCAAGATCTTGTAGAAGGGTTAAAACGGCGCCTTGCTGATGTCCTGCGCAAGACCTTTTGCTGTTCTGTCAGGATTTTGACAAGGACAGCGCCGGCACCTGGAGTTGGTCTAGCAGTGCATGTTTACCATTCGGAGACACATTCAGTCACTGCAGTTGCAGGGAGTGTCGAAGCATCTGTTTTCTGATCGTCCAGAGGTCAATGGCGAAGCCATTCTACAGAGCCTCGTTTGCCACTCCTCTGTTGACACTCCATTCGACTGCTTTCCACAACGCTAGTTGATGCATGTGTGAGGTCGTCTTTGTGATCTTGTTGGTCTGTCGACCTTCAACCGAAGCTCGTTTGTATCTTACAGTTTCTGTAGTCTGGAGGAAGAGAGACTCAGATGGAATCCAACCGAATCCCAAGTCCCGAAATTCGACTCGCTCTGGTAGATGCTGGCCTGGTGTCTTGTGGTAGACTGTACAGACGGGGTAAGACGAGCTCGGTCGTCTACGGCGCAGAAGCTTCCACCTTCAATCCCGCGGAGACAGTTGGCACCCTTTGCAATTAGCTACTACGCAATGCAAGGTGCAGCGCAAACAGAGAAGACTTGAATTGAAAGGAGTCTGGAGCAGCGAACACTTTACCGTCTCCCTGTTGCTAGCCAGGCATGACGTGCGAGTTCTGAGCGGAGAGGGTTGGCCTGTCAATGGCTCGGATCGCAGGGTATCAAGTGCATCATGTGCTTCGAAGAGTGCTGAGATGTGCTGGGTCTCTCAGGCCATGCGACGGCGCTTGCAGCGCTTGCGGGTGCGGGGAGGCGCGTGTACCGACTGTGCACGAAGTTGTCCTTAGTTTAGGGCTGTTAGGGCTTGCCACTTCCTTTAGGGTTCACCGCTGGGTTTGCCAGTCGTGTTGCCCTTTGGTTGGCTGCGAGTTTGTGTAAGGCGACAGGGCTTCCGAATTTCGGGTTCGCCAATCCCTTCGGGTTGAGGTTTTGCTGCTCAGCCGCTTGCAAATTTCTTGGCACCTTGCAAGCTCCTACACAACAGGGTTTTTTCGGCTCGAGGGTTCCTGTTGCTTTCGGGTTTATTGGTTTGCCCTTGCGGTTTAGGCTTCGGAGTCGGGTTTAGGGCTTAACTCCAGGCTTACCTCAGGCCTGGAGTTTCAGGGTGGAGGGTTGATGCTTTTGTGTTCAGGGTATTGCGGCTGCAGGGTTTGGCGCGCTTTGAGGATGTGGGGTTCGCCAAGGCTGAAGCACTGCCCTGGTTACCCAACCGCTGCCCGACACGGTTCGTAGAGGTCTTCGGATTCCTTTCATGGATAAGTCTGGAACCTTTAACGGCTTGCACGTGTGTGTGTGTGTGTGTGGTCTTTGTGTTGCGCAGCTCCTCTGACTCTTAATCCAAGGAGTGTGCCGATTTTTCAGATGCGATGCAGCGCTTGCAAGCCCACGTGAGTGGTGTCTGGGACGGGGAGCAAACCCAAAACACCCACAGGGCGAGAGCAAGAACAAGATGCCACCCCAGCACCCAAGCCTGCAATGAGTGCCGCAGCCCAAGCCCGAGGCCGTGAGTGAGTGTGCAAGGCGGCGGAGGAAACAAAAGCACCACCCTGGCAGTCCCAGAGCCCAATCCTGCGGCGTTGAGGGAGTGAGTGTCCTGGAGCGGTGCGGAGCCAAAACAGCACCGAGAGGAGGGCCAGAGCCAAAAAACATTCTGGTCTGACAAAACAAGTGCCAGGAGCAAAAAGGCAGTGGAAAACAACAACACACTGGCCGGAGTTTTTTCTCGCCGATTGACCATAAACTGGAGAAGCAGCCACAGCAGGCCAGCGGCACAATCGAGCTCAACGGCAGAAGGAGCAGACTTTTACTGAAAGCGGGCTCCTCTGACTTTACTAGCTGTAGGGCACGGCTCGTTCTCATGACCAGCTTCTTGAGGTGCCGCATCAGCTTGGTCAAAGGCCCAGCTGCATCAGATTTTCCGTCTGTCGCTTGTTGACCGCATCACTTACAGGTGTCCGGTGCAGGAGCCGCTGTCGCGGCCCTTAAGGAGGTGGAAAAGGCTCCGGACTTGGAGGCTTGCAACGGAAATCCAGGTGTTTGTGAAGCGTGTGTGGTGCATGAACCTGGAAGGAGGAGGTTCAGCTGGACTTCCATCCTTTGCGAATCCAAAATATCTCGATCGGACAGGACCTCCTTGCTTGGAATGCTTTTCCGGACTTGAGCCCGTTCATCCGGCCAACGGGCCCCCAAACGCGCAGACTCCCGCGCGAGAGCAAAGCCGAAGATGAAGAAAAGACAGCAACCCGCGCGTGTACAAGGATCCTCAATGCAAGCCAGGCGTGTCTGTGGAGACCAGAAAGACTTACTATAGGGCACTCATCGCGAGCCGACGGGCCTTTGCAGCAATCTTTCTCTTTCCGTTAACTGTGGAAAGCTGCCATCGCGTAAGGCGGGGAGGGCTCGGATTTCGGTTTGGAGATCCACCGCCATCGCCAAAGGCGCGGTCGGGTTTAAGACGGGAGCAGCCATTATCCCGAATGAGGACATGAGATTTACCGTCATCGCAGTGAGCGCCTAATGAGGGTCGAGTTGAAGACAGGTGATCAAAGACCATCGCCCCAGGATAATGGGACCAACTGCCATGGCCCTTGGGGGGGCTGTTTAAGATACGTTTTCAACCGGCATCGTGTAATCACAAAGGGTCGTTGGCAAGAAAGGTGACCAACCGCCATCGCTTAAGGCGGGGTCGGGTTTATGATGTGGGATCGAACGCTGTCCGCAAATGCGTGGGCGGATTTTGCAAATGCGTGGGGGATTTATTTGGTTCTAAGAATTAGGATCAACAGTTATTGGATATCGCCCGAGGAGGGGGTCCGCCAACCGCCATGGCCTGAGATGGGGTTGGGTTTAGGATATAAGATCGATGCTATCCCCTCGGGACGGGGGATAAGTTTAGTATGGGAAATCAACCGCCATCGCTTAATCAGGGCCGGTTTAAGAAATTGGATAAAATGCCATCGCCTAAGGATGCTTCGGGTTTGAGCGAGATGGGATCAGCCGCCACGGCCTCATAGCCTCATGAGGATATGAGATCAAGCGCTCGTGTGTAAGAAATAGCATCAATCGCCAGCGGCCGAATAAGAGGGGTCGGTTTCAAGAAATGGGATCGACGGTCATCGTCTGTTGAGGGCCCCGGTCTAGGACATGGGACCAACCGCCATTGCCTAATGAGCGCTCTGGGCGGAATTCGCTTAATGAGGGGTTGGGCGAGGGGTCGAGTTTGAGATACGGACTCAGACTCTACGCCTGATGAGGGTTCCAGAAGTTCCGGCATAAGATATGAGATCCACAGTCTTTAAACGGCAGAGGAAGCGATGCGGTTAACATCAAAAATAAAGACGATGCATTTAACCCAGACGATCCGTGGGATCCGTGAAAGCCCCGGAGCATGACGTGAGTGACATAAAGACGCAGTTAGCCCAAAAAGAAAATCACGGTTAACAGCAAGAAGGAAGACGCACTTGATATGCTGGTAATCAGGTCATACGAGCAAAAGGGCGCAGGCTCTCTGTGTGGGAAGGGCCGGGCTCGATCAAAAAGCTGTTTGGTAAAGCATATTGTATGGATGGTTCACGGCCTTCTTTTCATTTCCGGACAGCACGTTTTTGGCACTGGCGGTGCGCACAGCTCGAGTTTGCAAGTCGAAGCGGTGAGAGACACGAGCCACGAAAAACTTCAATATCAACTGGGTCGTCTTTGTCGCTTTCGCGAGCCCTTTCTTCGTGCATTTGCTTGCCGCGCATTGGTGGGGCTTGTTCGCGAGGGTGTTTACAAATAAACATGAATGATCTTGCGGACACAGGGTTCTGGAACAACGCCCAGCCGTCGCAGACATGACGAGCGCGGCTGTCACGGTCGATCCCAACATTTCCGAATAATCTAGGTAGGTCAAGCCACTCGGACTCCGTGACAAACCATGCGGGCAGGGGAGCATACTGACCTTAGGTGACCTCGTGAGAGTTCCAAAAGCCTGCGATCCGAATTAAGGGTGTTTAAGCTGCCTCTGTTCAGTCAACGCGGTCTCAGCACCGAACATGAGGTTTCTCTTCGGTGCTGGAAGACCAGCCGGAAGGGAGCGAAGGAACGGGTGACGGAAGCAAGGAGAGCAGGACAGACAGCAGAGACGTCTGAAATGCAAACGAATAATTGCAAAACGCAGTGCCTGCCTTATCTTCCGTGTATAGCATTGCGATCATATGTCCCAAAACCTTCTCTGGTTGTCTCAGGCCTCTGCGAACCTCAACGCATCTCCCTAAACTAAGGTTTACTACGTGATATGATTGTGTTTCTGTTTTGTCGTGTGTAAGTTCCACCAAGACCGAACCTCTGACATCAACTTGTTTGTGCTCAACTTGGTGCACGGCGGCCGAAGGATTGAAGGGGCGATTACGTGCTTCTGGCAATCACAGAAGGTATCTGCTAAGTACAAGAACATGCTAGGAACATGTTGATCGAATACGGCGGGTTGTTTTCGGACTGGCGGGAGCGCAACTTTGGAGGAGGCGACGCGCTGCGCCCACTAAAGCCTTCAAGCGATCGGAAGACCAACGTTTGACCATGCACAGCATTCGCCTCGTGAAGTAAACGGCAGTCTGGCCTTTGCAATGGGCGGCCATTTCCAATGAATGCGGTGTCCGGGACAGATGCAGCCGGCCCGAAACTATGATGCAGAAGTAGAAAGGTAGGCTAGCATCGGGAGAGAGATGGTGCAGTATCAGTTGGAGCACATGTTTTCATGTCATTCTGGACTTCGGAGTACGACTATTGCTCAGCCGCTATTCTTCACACGTTGAGGGCTCCCGCCGCAACTATTGCTTGGTCGGTTGAGCGTTGTACACCCGAATCGATCCGTGACACCTGGACCTGTTTTTTTTTGCAACGTCTTTGCACATCGTGCGATGCCAAACGATGCTCCCCCGCGAGGAATCCTGGACCTTCGCGCCCGTGCTCGACTTGCGGGTGATCCGCCAGGCGCTAAGAGACAGTGCCAGCTCCTTGAGCAACTTTCAGAGCAGGAGACTGGGCTGAGTGAGGTTTTCACTTTTGCAGACTGAGCAGGGTGGTAGGGTCCTCCCCACCTCTCGGTACATGGCTGCTGGAGGATGATGAGTATAGGAGGAGTCCTATGATCTCTTTTCTTGCCTTCTGGCGCTCCGGAGGGCAGCGTGAAAGCTCTGAGCAGGTTGTGTGCAGGATCTCTGCGAGTTCTTATAGGGCGCCGCTTGTGACTACCCTGCATCTTCGCTTCCAATCTATGGCTCAGTTTCTTCCACCCTGGTCATCCCTGGTCCATCCATGCTCACCATCACTTCGGCCCGGGGTTGGAGATCAGCCCGGAATCCCAACGGACCTGTGCCCCGACATTTCACTGTCACACCTCTGTCGATGCATGTCAGCTGTTTAGGTGTTGTGTGCTTATACCCTCTACTTGGAGGTTCATGGGTAGTTATAAGTGGAGTTATAAGTCTCTTAATATGGGTTATAATTACAGTTACCCTACTTATAGCTCCACTTATAGCTACCCATGAACCTCCAAGTAAGGTGGCGACCCTCGCCGTGGCCGGACCGCGCCCAATGAAGTCAACCAGGCGGTCTTCGAGGGGCGCGGCCCCAAGCTGGCAAACCGTTTCGTGCTGCAAAAAATGTTATTTGCAAAACTAATCAGCATGTTTGAGCTCCTATAAGTCGTCTCTTGCAGTGTTACTACCAGAAAGTTACCCCTTGATTCAACGGTTTTGTGAGAGTGACAGCAGTGGGACGGATGACTGAAAACAGAATTTGGACCCTGCTTCCGCGAAGGTGACGGAAGGTGTTGTGGTCTTCGTACCGCAGAGCCTTTCAGCAGAAATGTGTAACGAAGACATGCAACATCTTGACCTTATGGCAACATTGCATGCAGCCGGACCCCTTCATAGCATGTTGTCAGCTCTAAGAGTCGTAATTAATTGCAATCGCAATGGGCAAAAGCCATGAACTCCATTGATCTGACAATGCCATTGAGCTTCCATCTCACATTCGATTTTGTGTGCATGGTGTACAGGCACGACTGTTGCTTAAGGCCCTTTGTGGCGCGCGTTGTATCCGGTGTACCTCGCGGTACTACAGAGGCCCTGATGGGCACCGCAAGTTTGCGCACATGTCGTGCCTGATGTGCAGATCCGGTCTAATCGAACCTGCGAATGTGAGGATCCGACGTGGTCCGAGTCGCTGCAGTTGACTTTCACCAAAGCGCTCCTGCCTCAGTGACTCCAGCCTACATGGACATGAGCATACGCATGTCTTGGGATCGCTCAGAGCTGCAGATCAGAGCCAACACAGTAGATCAGGACGAAGCTTCGAGGTGCAAGGAGGCATGAAAGATCATGAAACGGTTGCCCACAGTGTCACAGAATCAGACATGCTTTTCGATCCCTCCGGGGGGCGTGGTACATCAGTATTCCAGCCAGCGACATGCCTTTTCGGGCCCATGGAGACGGTCGCGGGCTTTCCGCGGGCGGCAGCGCGGAGCGGAAGTTCGCATCAAGACCATCAAGGCCAGGGCCCAGGGCTGGGAACCTTTGCGAGGAAGGCGAAGGCGGAAAATGGCCTTCGGCTGATGGCAGCCAGTTTTTGCCAATAGCTAAAAGAAGTATCGCACTGGTGTCTACGTTAGTCTCCTTGTCTTGGCGTCAGCCGCGAAACCATCGGGGCGGGAAGGTCCCACATTACGCTTCATCCTTTTGCTCATCCCCACTTACTGTAGGCCGAAGGTGAGAGGGTCTCGCGTATTCTTTGCAGGACGTTTCCTCGCTGTGGGCCTGAGCAGCGTGGCGCTTCGGCACAACAGGGCCTTCGCAGCGTCCTTTGAGGCAGCGAGCCTTGATTGCTCTGAGCAGCCCCGAACCGCGTTCTCAAGCCGGCGGATGTCAGCGAAAATCGAGAGGGCGCCAGTGGATGTCGAGCAAATATGCTCAAGACTGGCAGCGGTGAGACGGAACCACCTGCTGTTTGTATCCGCCGAAGTTGAGGGCCCCGAGCCGGATGGAGAGCCTGTGCAGGCTAAGGCAAAGCAGCACCCTCGTCCTGCCGCAAGCAGCGGAGAGGGTTCTGAGCTCACTAGTAGATCCCAGCGGATGGCGCAGAAGAGGTTCTACGACATCGATGTCGGCAAGCTGGATGCTCAGAGTGTGTTTGAGAGAGTTGCAGGAGCTCCGGACAGAGTGAATACGAAGCTGTGTTTCTTCCGTGACCGCCCGGACCTTGTCCTCCCCATCATCGAGGAAAAGTTCGTAGTTCGGGATGAGAAGAGGGATTGCGAAGTACTGGACTTGCCTCGTTTGAGAGGTGCCCAGTCAGCCAGGACACCCCGCAAGAAAGTTCAAGCCGTGCCGAGCAGTGCAAGTCTCAAAACCGTACTCTCCGAAGACGATGCCGTGTATGACAGCGCGGAGGAAACATGCTGGCAAGACAGCCCGCAAGGACAAGGATACCTTGCTGTTCCCGAGCCACGAGCGCTGCAACATGTTGTGTCCATGGCTTCCGTCAATACGCGCCCCTCAGAGCACAGCAGTCTAGAAACAGGGGAACAGAGGTCTCTTCGAATCGTGCGAGCTGCCCGCGTCCGTGACGAGAGAATTCAGATTGCGCAGAAGGCGGTTCGGAGCAACGAGCTGCAGTGGCGTCTGCACCATTTGAAGTGCTTCCGGGACAAGGAGCAGCGCAAGGACCGCAGCTGGAAGTGTGCATTCATAATTCCATCGTTGAAGATTCGCGACATGGGAGCTCGGGTATACCGGAATAAACGCGAGTGTGTTTTTGCATGACCAATGTCAACAGTGTGCAGCTTCCTTTGTCCCGTACCTTCCCCCTCGCAAAGGTGGCGATCGCACTCTCGCCACAGTTGCCTGCTTTGCTGCGTCCAGAAGTCGTGCACGTTTCAGAGTTCAAGCGTTCGACTCGTGTTTAGATCGCGTGCACCGAGCAAGTCGTCTTGACCCCAGTCAACTTGGCCCTGTGGTAGCCCACCCAGCATGCAAGGGCGAGAAGGTTCAGTTCAATTGCAGTCTTGCGAAACCGCGCAATTTCTTCCCAGTACTGACTGGCTGGCAATGATGCTGTCACGGGATGCTTGCAGGAGCTTCAGCTCCTGGCGTCCAGGCAGCAGACCCTACTCGAGTGGATGGCTGTGGCTATCGCAGCTCAGCGGCTCCTGAAAGCTGTGCAGTTGGCCCGCGATCGACGCTTGTGGTACCGTCAATCAGAAGCCAAAGCGCCGCTGGCGACCACGACCAAGTCTAAAGCACACTGGTTGCGAGCGAAGAAGATCGTCAGCAGCAGCTTGACCGAGAAGGACGGTCAGGGCAATCTGCAAGAGATCTTCAACTCGCGTGCGAAGCGCAGCAAATCGGCTTGGGAGCGCTGGGATCACTTGCTGCGCGTCATGAAGTTTTTGGCCAAGTTGAAATACCGGAGCAAACTGACGCGGAGCGCTTGCGCCATCAAGCAGTTCATCGAAGGAGCCTGGCGTGGCATGCGCTTTCGTGCTCGGGTTGGTGCCTACCTCTACAATGTTCGGGCCTTGCATCGACCTGAGAAGTTGCCGGAAGAGGAGAGAGAGGAGATGAGAGGAGAGAGGACATGAACGGTTTGTTTTGGAGAGAATAGGAGACGGCGAAGAGACTCTTACCCGAGGCAGCGTGCCATGCGCGCGGCCATCAAGTTCCGAGTGCAGGTCCGCAGCTTCATCTATCTCCCCACGCTCTGGGAAGTTGAGACGCAGCTTTTAGGACAGTTTCGCGACCTCTGCAGCTGTTCTGCAGCTCTTCGTGATCAGGTTTGCAAGCATGGCCTTCGCATGCCTTCGCCTTTGCAGGAGAGAAGCTCATGGCTCATTTGCCAAAGGGATACACGAAGCAGCGCATCGAAACGCACCGGCAAACATGGGCTCCTTGGCCATGGTTGTGACAGGCCGCGGGCCGCGTGTTGTGTTGCTGTCAGATCCTTTCCCCAAGATTCACGCGACCAGGGCAGTCACAGCGGGGTCTTGCTGAGCAGCTTATTCAAATCATGGGGTAGTCAAAAGACTTGAGCTCAGGACCTTGAAGGCCGCATCCGGTTGCTGCAAGAAGCCGCAAAAGAACGCAGGATACCTGGTTTAGGACCGCCTGCCTTGCAGCAGCATCTGCACGTGTGATCCGAAGCATCCGGAGAAACTAGCAGGACGCAAGGGGTACATGGTCGAAAAGCGGAAGACTACGAAAACGACCGTGTCTTCCTCGGTGCAGTATGTGCTCAGCAGCAACCCGGCTTTGGTGCCTGCGCACGAGGCGACGCCGAGAGCCACTCGCATTGGCAGACGGCGCAATGCCCAGTTTCGGCCGTCGGAGAGGAGCCTCGGCTATGCACGAGTGTAGCTTACAGGAAGCAGTGCTTCTCGGTGCGCTGCATTGGGGCATTCAGTTGCGCATGGCTCAGACGGCTGGTCAGGCCCGAGCGCATGGTTGTCTTCTCAGAACTTGGCGAGGCTGCCGGATGAACCATTGTGCCATAGTGGTGACACCTGCAAGTAGACAGGTCAGAGCAAGATACAACTTGTGCAAACGGACTGTCTCGCTGTCTTACTCGATTCTCCGTCTAAGCATGTTCATGACCAAGTTCGCTCTTGCCAGGGGTGATGTTTCTCGCTTCGTAAGAACTGGTCCAGGGTTCGGTCTTGCATGTTGCTGCAGTTGTGGGAGGCAATTCCCACCACATCTGCTGAGCGGAAACAGCAACAGGCAGGACGGATGCTGGTTTCCCAGTGCACCACCAGTCACATCTCCTACCCATGCCTGTGTGACGACTGTAGCGATGCTGAAAACTGCGCAGGTCTTGTCTCAGAATTTTTGGTTTGTTCTGCAGCTGACAGGCTCTGATGATTGCGAACAACGTCCTGGCATCTTGGCTACCGAAGCAGCAGAAAAAGCATTGTCATCCCGATTATCCGGACAGCTTTGTGGAACTTCACATGCTGCCTAGGACCATTACCGGCTCGACATAGAGACGAGGAACGACATCGTTAAGACTCTCTTCATTCAGAGCCTACACCGCTGGAAGGAAAATTATCGTGCCTACCTGGTGGAGTGCAAAAGGTTGAACAAAGTGTGGCAACTCTACTGCATTCCTTCATGTTACTACGTTGTCTGAGTCCCCTTGACCTTATTAGTGTTTTTGCTGGAGGCCCGAGATTGAGATCAATGCTTGCATGGGAAATCTGAGGCAACAGTGGCGACTCGAAATCCAAGCTCTGGGACCTCACAGAAAGGAGCACTGGCCAAAGCCTCCTCCGTCCTGTCAGCCGCCCTCCGAGATGTACAACGTGGACACAAGGAAGCTGCGAGGCATGATCATCGCGGCTCTTGCTCAGTCTCAGCTGGGTCGCAGTCTTTTCGCCCGAGACATCCGGCGTGTCTCGAACCCCTGAGCATCTGAATATATCTGAAGTGTTAATGCCTTGGGCATGGCCACGCTGAACAGTGTACAGTCAGCAAGGTCGGTCAGCCGCTCCCCACGTCTCGAATAGCGGGATCGAGAGGGAGAAATGTCCCAATCTGGTCACGACACGGCATGGATTGGATCTCTCAGGCGTTTGGCCTTGTACTCTATCCTGGGCAGCTCTTAAAGACTTGCTGTGGAAAAGCTTGGACAACGTTCGTTAACTGAATTGAAGAAGTTTGCTGTCTTCAGAACAACTGCGTTGCATTCCGATCGTGCAAGCATCGCCACTCCAAGTGTTCTGCATCAACCCAAATCACGCCTGAGGAAGGGACTTTATGTCCATGTGGTTCTGTCGGACACGCGCTTCGGCGTCGGCTTGGGTCCTCTTGCAGAGCTTGTCGTCACGCTTGGGGAGGCAGGCTGGCCAACTTTTTGGAGCATGAACAGCAATCTGTAAATAGTTCGAAAAACATTCTGGTATGTGGCTGACCTGACTTTTTGTTCAGAGGGCTCTGAAGACCCAAGGAATGCAGTCAAAAAACTGTCAGTTCTTCCTTCTGATGTAAAGACACTGGGCAGCTTTTGCCGCAGGTGTTGGACATGATGCGTTCTCCGGCTGTAAGCCCAGGCCCCAGGCAGAAGATTCCGAACAATTTCCGAAGTTCCGAAGTGTCGCCTCGCCCGGTACGCTACACACGCTGTCCATTCCCAGTTGCATTGGTGCTACCTCAGGGCCCCAGAGTCTTGTATCTCTCGCAGGCTGCCTAGCACTCAAGGATGAAGCGTCCCAGCGCTGTAGACGGCGCCAAAGCGCCGGTGGGAGCACAGGCGAGCTCCAAGAGCTGAAAGCTCCTGCCGTGGGATGCGACCCCGCAAGCGGTCGAAGACTCCGTCAAGGTCGCAGAGCTGCGATGACCTGGGTAGGCTGCATGGCCGACAGATCTGGAATCATTGACATGTCGGTTTCTGGAGAAGAAGCTTGTGTGGCACGCCGTCTTTGTGTAATGTAAAGCTGTTGCCACCGTATCTCAGGGCATGGATGCAGACCGAGCAGCCAGACAACACCTTCCTCACGTGCGGCGCTGAAGTACGGCTTAGTCGGGCCGAGTTGAAGATGGGGAACACTCTAAACCCCGGCCCTTAACCCAAAGCAATCGTTATACCGAGGACGGTGGCCACGAAGCCAGCAATTGGACTCGTCGAGCCGCTGCGCAAAAGTCAGCCCCCCGGTCTGCCGGCTTTGCAGCGTTATCCGAGGACCTGAGAGGCTCCTATAGGAGCCTCTCAGGTCCCGGATGGGATGTGTGGCTTCTTGTGGAAGCCCGAAGCTTGAAGCGTGCAGCGTGAGACATGCAGGCGAGAAGGACATCAGAACGTATGTGCAGAAGAAGCGGGAGGTTTTCCTTGTTCACATGGCATGTGACAACAAGCGAGAGGAGATTGCTGGACCCTGAGTTCAGTGTGAGTTTGGGACTACGGAGATCGGTCCCAGCGGCCGCAGCATTTTTCAGGGATTCTGATCCGAGGTGCGTTTAGATGCGATGGCAAAGGCGAAGGAAGATGCCTTGGCCATTTCCCAGCAAACTCTGGACGAGGACGCCAAAAAAATCGAAGACTACCTCCAGGATCCATTGGGAAGACTGTGTGCAACTACCGGATGGGCAGGAACTTCGAGCGACCGTTGATTTGATTGGCAGGCAAGAATCGCGAAAGCTTCCGACGCGACGAAGGAAAGTGATCACCACGCGAAGGTAAAGCAGAACAAGGTCGCGAGAATAAAAAACCTGAAGCAGCAGATCGCTGCTGTACAAAGTGACACGAGCAAGTTGAAGGAGGCCCGGAACGCAAGGGTGAGAGCAAAAGCCTGTTGCGATGGCAGCTTTGCAAGCTTGCAGGTAAGGGTGGAGTGCGAAAGATACAAGATGTTTTTGGAGAAGATTACTCCGCCAGAATGGAAAGAGGAGCAGCTGAGTCCTCAGCTTTATGCAGGAAAGCTTTGTGGGGAATCTGCCCAAGAGATGACAGTCATGTGTTGCTGACTTCAGGAAGCGCAAGAAGGAACAAAGGAAAAAAGAAAGAGCAGAAAGGCTCACTTTTGACCTTGGCACGTGTCATCGAGTCACCCAGCGTTGCAGGTGGAAAAACGAACGTCTGGCCCCGATAATGGAGCAACTAGCGCAGGAGGAAGAGAAGCTTGACAAAATCGCCCAGGAGGAAGAGGCGGCGACTGCTATGTTTGAGTTTACAATTCGCCCTCCCCCCGAATCCCCGCCCTCCTCATCCTCATCCGCATCATCATTAGTTATCGGAGCGTAATATGAAAATATGATGGGCTGTGAAGAGAAGTTATGAGGCAGATGTTGCTGAACTCAAGTAAAGTTGTCGCAGATGGCTGGGCTGAGTTCGGGCATGTTTTCGGATTGTGCTTCACGGGCTGTTTTCGGTCAATGAAACAGTGCAACCACAGTCGTCGCAGCTTCAAGCCGAGATATCACTAGCTTGGGCGCAATCAGTTGTGCAAGTGCGTAAATACAAGTTTCAAACAAGCATACAGTATTTAGATTCAGATCAGACGCTGCTAGTGGGCTTGATGGCCGTCGTGATTCAGGCCGAAGCTTCAAAGAAGCGTGGCAAAAAGCAGCGACGAAGAGAAGACGAGGCAGCATGAACAGATGGGTTACGAATAATGGTAATGGATGGCCCAACCCGGCATGGCTATTGTCCTCTCCTTTGCCTCAGGAGGAGTTTCTGCAGCGACAGCGGGAGCGAGACAGTCGCCGCAAGCGTATTCAGAAGCGAAGAGAGGCAATAGCGGCTTTGAGCCATTGTCGTTGACCTGCACGGAATGCGCAAGTGTACAGGAGGAAGAAAGGAAAGTCAATGCGGAGCATGGGGCCCAGCTGCGAACAGGTTGATGGGTTCAAGATCTTGACACCCGATAAGGCTGCGGGTTTTCGGGAATTGGTCTTTGAATTACACGGGTGACCAACTAGGTATGTGGCTGTTTCGTCAGAAGAGGAGCCAGAGCTCTTCTTCAAGGCCACACACCGTTCGCAAGTCTGCTTGCTCGCTCGGGGCTGGGGGTCTTTGTGCAGGAGCCCCAGCAGCTCATGGACAGCTTCACAGATCTGGAAGAGCTGAACCTTTTCCTCATCCAGAGCTCTCAGGTTGCTTCTCATGCTGAGCCTTCGAGGAAAACTCCAAGAGGGAGCGCCTTGAAAGGAAGCCGAGCAGCAGCTGGATGACATGCGCAGCAGCTTTGAAGCCATGAAGAAGAACATGGGTCACAAGGCTTGTTGGAAGCATGTTCTGGGGTTCGAACAGTGCACATGCCTGCGTCGGTGGTCAAGCGGGGGACCACTTGCTTTGAGTTTGACAATCCTGCACGGAGCCTATTCGTCTGTTGACTCTGAGAGTCTGTCTCGGCTGCATTCCAGACTCCACACCGCAGATCTGTCTCGATATGGTATTCGTGAGAGCTTGATGACTGCCTTCCGACTGAAATTTCATGCTCCGCTCCTAGCACTTGCTCGGAATAGCTGGACCTGGTCAGTCAATCATCCTGGCCGTCTCACTTACTTGGTAGCCTTACACGATGCTGAAGGTTGTCGGCCTGATGGTCTCTCTTGCCTGTTGAGCAGGTGCAGCAGTTGAACGACCAAGTCAAGCAGTTGGAGCACAGTATCAAGCAGGCCCGGCACCCAGGAGCTGGCCCACAAGAGGCGGAGCAGAGCGTGCAGTGAGGAGCAGAGAAGGGGTGAAGAGATAAAGCAAAGCCAAGTGGAGAAAGCCAGCACCGCGATGCAGGAGCTTTCCAGCGGCAGTTTTGTTTTCGGTTTAATGTCTGCAAATCATGGCGGCTCCTTTGAAAGCCCCTCGGTCCAGGACAAGAAATTGAGCTCCTTGGCAAAGAAGGCAAACGCTTCACACAGCAGCCCTCCTTCATAAGCCTGCTGTTCTTTCCCGTCCTTGCACGTGCTGCCTGGAGGTACATGAAGTATACGCACGGTGCAATCTAGCAAGAGATCAGCAGCAGCCGGATACGCTGCAGATGCTCGGGGCCATTGAATCGCGGATTGAGGAGTTGATTCAAGGCCTTGATGAGGTCTATCAGCAGGACTCCGCTGTCATGCCTATGGGCCTATATGAACCATGGCCAAACCAAGTCCTGAACTTACGGTCCGTTTCTCCGTGCCGGGCCGGAGGATGAGGACTTGGTAATGCGGCTGGAGAAGATCAAAGAAGGCGATTGGCGCGAGAGAGCTTGGCTCCGAGCTTCGTAAGCCTGCATTGCCCCCTGCAGACCCCCGTGCATCTCCCGCCCTACCCTTCGGCATTTCGGCCTCCTTCTTCCTTGGACGAGACTGCGACTCTAAGGTTCGAGAGAATCGACTCAAGGAGCAGTCAGAAAAGCAAGAGGATCGATTGAAGCAGTCACTGCAACGGTCTCAAAAACCAGTCTTCAAGAAAGCTTCGCACTCAGAAAAGTGCGCTTGGCCAGCTGTAAGAGATGCAGACGGATACCTCGACGTGAGACCGCACTAAGGCTGGCAAGCAGGTCATGTACCGGTCTCCACCTCTACGACAGGAGCGCAAGGTAGTGGAAGACACCACTGACGATGAAGCTCATGCCAGAGATCACAAGGCAGGTTGGCTCCCAACAAGTTGCTGGAATCAGTGACTCCGGCCAGTAGCCAGTAGTACATCACGAAATCGTGCGAAAGGTGTTCGACATCTACATCGACAGAAAGACGGGGGTGCCACACACGGATGCACCCGTGGAAGAAGCCAGGCGCGTCGCGCAGCGAGCGGTGCCGCGGTTCGCGCCTTGCAACGCGTAGGTTGGCCGAGGCCGTCCGCTGAGCCCACGTCTTTGTCCTCCTTTCTCTCGTCTCCCTCCTCTCCCTCTTCCCTTCCTTCTCTGGCAGGATCGTCTCACCAGGACACAGTCTCACCAAGTGCAGGCGTCGCAGAATCTTGCCTCTCCGAACAGTGAGCAGCTGCCAAGCAAGAAGCTTGTGTGGCGGTCTGGTTGCTGATGCAAGCTAGCATGACATTCTGACGTACTGGCCGAGTTGGCTCCTCTTTTCACCTGCAAACGGCAAGCGCTTCAGATGTGGCGCAGCTCTGAGCTTGACAAAGTGGAAAACTCCTCTGCCAAGCTCTCGTTGCGTACATCGGTGGACATGTCGCCCGTCTGCAACTGCGTGCCTGTCTCGCGAGCAGAAAAAGCCGTCCGGCACAAGACACGAGCATTGGATAGCATTGGTTATCCGATCCATAGAGTGTGGCACGGCGCCTGTCCCTCTCCCAAGGTCGCTTCACCATGCAGCCCTTCTCGGTGGACTTGTCAAAGGTCAAAATAAGCAAGGGCCATCAAGGGCTGGAGTCAAGGCACTCGGATCACAAGTCACTGGCTGAGGTCCTCCTGTGGTACTGGTCGCACAGTTTGGTGGACCACGGCCGAGCAGAGCCCACAGATGCCAAAACCGATCAGATCCTATTGGGGAGGATGGAATTTCCAGTTGTGCAGAGGCCTTCACTGTTTCTGCCACGTGATCCGGGCAGAGGCTCTGCCAGAGGCTGGAAAGCCACCCAGAATATAGTCTCTGCTCTTCTAGCTGCAGCCAGAGATGCGGTTTCTTGAAGGACACCTTCGTGATCGAAGTTGCGCTACTTGCGAACCAGGGAGATGGTTGCATTCTAGTTTCTTGGTGGTGAACACTAGAATGCTGAACAGACTGTACTTCAAACTCAGCTTGAAAAAATTGGATCATCGAACAAGGCACGTGGCCGATCAGATCCTCAAAGCGGCGAGGCCCTCGGTTCGTCTTCGCATTTGGGAGCAACTTTTCTGCCTCAGCTTTCAGGCCCCGATCCGATCTATCACAGCTCAGTGAACTTGGACTGGGATGTCCTGTCCTCGGCTTTCTCCGCCCCCTGGGCAGACATCGCAAGTGCCTCGAGTGGACGCTTTGCGAACCGCGGCTTGCCTATGCTGGCGGCAGCACTCCGCCGAAAATCGTGAAGCAAGTTGAAACAGCTCGATAACGGGACAGTTTAGAGCGACTCCCGAATCACCTAATGGAGCATGAATCCTGAAGCATCCTGGACCTCTTCGGACAGCCCAATTCGATCTGAGGACGAGGGCGACATGGCTTTCAGCTGCCAGGCGCTTTATGGACAGTATGCAGTTGCTTCAGAAGAAAGACTGCGCTTGTGGAGTGCGCAGGTCATTCGAACAGGAATGGGATTCAGTGAGGAAACTTTCGCGGAGCTGAAGGAGAAGCTGCCACAGGTGCCGCACCAAAGGTTTTGTGATGTCCCCAGGCGTTGCGAAGGCTTGTGCAGCGGAGTGCTCTGTCTGCTCATGTCTGCTCAATGTGGCGGCGGTGCTACTTTTGTCATCGTCGTCACCCTCGTCGTCGCCGTGGTCGTCGTGGTCGTGGTTGTGGTTGATGTTGCGTGAGGCGCTTGAATTCCCTGTGAGACACAACTCGATATGCGGCTCATCCAGTCTGAGCCCAAAAGCCGAATGCGGTGCAAAGCGCCCACTTTCCCATCCGTCGAAATCGCACTTTCTGATCTATTCTTGCTGTGCAGGGATCGCTGTCGGCAGGTAGACCGAAACCTCACCACTGCATTGTTAGTTTTAGCCACCAGTCATCAGCTAACCATGAATCATAAATCCGTGAAATCTCGATCGACCCATGGGTTTCTCATACGAGATGAGGTCAAAATTATCGTATATTGGTTGTAGAGCAGGCGGTTGTCGAAGATGGCCAATGCTACCGTTGACTTGTAAAACGATAGGGGACGCCCTAAAGACGATACCCTAAATGCAGCAATGTTGCCATTGCATCCTTTCGTTTTAGGATGCTTCAGGGCGTTGAATGCTTGAGGGTGTCGAGTTTTCATGGGAATTTTGGAAATTAGACGACGTCCCCAAGCTAGACACAACGATACCCAAACGATACCCAAAATATAGTTCCAGGTGGCCTAGATGGACCCATGGCCGTTCCTTTAGTATTTCA